TGGAGATCTCTAGGAAGAGCAACCTCTCTGCCTCAGTTACCCACTGAGCAAGATGGGGATGGGGGTGGGGGAGGAAGAGAAGGAGAAACAGAAATAGCTAAGGGCCCTTCGTAGTAAGATCTGAACCTCTACAGATCTTCCAGGTAGTCCATGAACAGTAGCTGAGAACAGCAGGGCTCATGGCAAGGTAGCTACCGTTACAAATGCTTCAGGCAAGGCGACTATTTCTCACCTTCCTGCACATACGTAGCATAGCTGGGCCAGAGCGCAAAATGTGTTTCGTGTCTTCCCTGCAGAGGCCCAGACTCCACGAAGAGCAAACAAGGCCAACTAGACTAGGTGTCTTTAAGGCCCGCATAGTCTTTAACTGGGTGTTTCTGACCCTAACTCAACTAGATTAGCAAGGCTCTCCTCTCTTTCCTCGTCCAAGATCTGCCTTGAGAAGTGGACAGGTACTCACTCTGTTTGCTTTGCTTATTTGAAGGAGAGACTTCTGCAGCTCACTCTTGGCAAAGACATTTCTCTGCCAGCAGTCTTTGTCAAACCGGGAAGACTGGGTGATGGGTCCATCTTCAGAGACCTCCGTTTTTCTGCCTTCGTGCTTCGGTCTCGTGATGTCATCAGACACCGTTGCCGTTTGGGTAGCCGTGTCCTTCACTTCCGCTTTCGACAATTTCATCTCCACGTTCAACTCTTGCACAGCTTTGGGATCAAGCCCTTCTTTTCGGGTTGGCGTAGGTTGTGGTTTGCCCCGCTGCTTCAGCGAGGTGTTGATTTGCGTAAGCTGTTTGACTTCAGCTCTCAGTTGAATAATCAGCTGCTTAAGATCTTCCTCATCTTTATTCTCCAGATCATCACTTAAACTGTCTTGCTCGGCTGTCTTCTGAGGATCTAACAGCTTATTCGCAATTTTCATCTGTTCTTGTCTGCTTTTTATCCGGAGGGAGGGAGGGAGGAAGAACGGAGGGGAAAAAAATCATAAAAAACAAACAGTCATAAGAAAACAAATTTACCTTCTGCAAAACAGTTTCTAGACTCATCATAAAGCATGAATGAATCCTTTTTCATGTTAACAACCTCAAAGAGAATCAGATGAGAAATCTCAGGGCAGAAGATTAACAAAACAGTAGGAGTTGCTAAAAGAAAAGAAAACAGAAAAAAACAGAGATTCAGAAGTAAACTTAATCCAGCAGTTACCAAAGAATGATTATGTATAATTCAGTGACAGTTTAAAAATAAATAGCAGGCTGGTCAAAAATCATTTCAAAAATCATGGAAGGCGCTGTTTTCCCCCAGAAAATGGGAATAATTTTCTCACTTATCACAGCCATGCAGGCTCAGCGTAGGCATAAAGGGCACAGAGAAACCTGAAATGCTTCGGAGGCAGTGGCTAAGGGCAGAGTAGTCTTGCTGTTTTTCCAGAACACAAGGAGAACCCATCCCACATAAGAACTGGGCACCCTGCTAGGAGCTGAGCAGAGCTTATTAATACAGAAGGGCCCCCACACTGCTTGCCTCATTTTTGGAAATGTGACTTAGTCCAGGAACATTATGTGAGTACAACAACTGCATTCTGTGAACCAGGTCAAATGCCGTCTGAGCTCCGTCCTTGTGTGTCCCATTTTATCCAGCCTTTTCTTCTGAGGTCTTTCTTTTAGGTGGTGGATGAAGGGAAGACCCAGCTTTGTAGACAAGATGACCTGAGTCCATCCTGGTCTCTCCTCCAGTTGAAAGAGATCCCTGTCTGACACCCAGAGACTCTCGGTAGAGACAATATGGTGTTAGATGGATTGACGCCAGTTATTATTTAATTTGCTCCTTTAGTCAACCAGGGACCAATAATTTATAGGAGGAGGACACTGGATTCTAGTGGAGCACTGTCCCATTAAATAGGGCTGGAAAAGCCCCCACTCTAAACCCATGGAGATCTACAGCAAGGAAATCAGCCATAACACATTGTACGTTTCTGGATTCACATGCACACATATATACGTGTTTGTGTGTTGGCCATGATCTCCAGAGGCTGATAGTAACTGAGAGTTTCACCATGCCCTCCTTCAAATCCTGCCCCTAAAGAAGACAGGATGCTGAGCTACATTAAGCATTTCCATGAAACAGGCAATAAGCTCCAGCTGTTTCAACAAAGGGATAACTTTTCTACCAGCTCGGAGAATCCAGCTACATGTGGCTGACAGGCATCCCTGTGGGACAATCAGCCCTTACTTGAATGCAGGGGTGGAGATCCAATTTCTCTTTGAAACGCTGAGCATGCTGGAATCTCGTAATGGCAGAAATCAATCCCAAAACATGACAGGAGCACCCTCCATTGGAAGGAACAGCCAACTTTGATCAGCCTGCAAAATGGCTTTCTGAGCGACAGCCCATAAGCCATTAGCGGTCCTGGAAAGCCTTTGCTAAGAACTAAAGGAGGAACGTTCCTCTTGCAAACAAAGCCTGCCGTTAATTTCAGGTATGTCAATAAAGGAACGCTTCACGCCATTTGAAATACAATCCGCTGAAAACAGAGGTGTTTAAGGAGGCTGGCGTTTGAAAGGGAATGTGTGCTTTAATGCCATTGCACTGGCATCTAAGGCCATTTGTGAGAATGAAGTTACCCAGCCCTATTGTCTTGGCACCAATCAAGCTGGGAGAATTTACAGCAAGACGTTAGAAAGTGCCGTGCCGCGGGTTGCGGTATTAAAAAGCATGGGGGAGGGGAGGCTCATTAGCAAACTTTTAAGTAAGATTGAGAAATGAGAAAAATATTCCAGATCCACATGTTAAGCTGCCTTCTCATCTGGCATGCCACCCAACTCTGATTTCCGTTCTTCTGTGTGTTCACCCGGCTTGGAGAACCATGATGAAAGAGCAAAAAAGCAGTTTCGCTGGCTATACAGTAGAAACGGTTGGCCCCTTGGAACGTCCAACATCTCAGACTCCACAGAACCATTTAGGAATCCTTGGTGGTCCCGTACCCACTACTAAGACCACCAGAGAATGGCTGTTGGCACAGATAAAAGGACCAATCCAACAGGAGCCTTTGGGAACTCATCTACTACGGGTGAGATGAAAGTGAAAGAGAGATGAATTAAAACAGATCAAGCAAAGGGGAACTCATAGAGGGAAGAAAGTAAAGCTTCTCAAACCCACTGAACAGAGCCCACCCTCCACTAATTTTTATGCCTCCTTTGGAGGAAGTGTAAATGCTTGGCGGAGGGTGAAAATCCCTCTGTACTCAATAAACAGCTGATCGGGAACGATATATTTACCACTATTATTTATATAACAACTAATACCCCACCTGTCCAGGATGGTATATAGGTCATTTCCAAATGCATTTCAGCAACTCAGGAGTGACCAAGAAATAAGGATGTTCTTCTGGGGCAACTGGGGGATCCGTGGCCCCATCTAGAAGACAGGGTAGAGAGGGGCCAAATCTGGGGTCTCCCCTGTCCTTCTGGGGTCCTTCCCTGCCATTTGCAGGCAGCCAAACAGTTTGGGGCAGGGGGGCTAACCTATCAGAGAGTAACACTACAGCAGCCTCCAATCTCTCCAGACACAGAGAGGTGAGACTAATTTCATTACTTTGCAATTCTCACTCAACGGTGTAACCCTTTTATATGCTTGGAGCGTCTTTCAAGGCATCATTTTACATGGGTGGTCTCACCTGCTTGCCCCCTCCCCCAGAGGAAGCATATTCCCTACATGCCGCCGAATCGCCAAGAAGGAAACTCGCTCCATAAACGATGTCTCTGACCAGCCTTTGCATCTCCTAATTACTTAATTGCATGATGGGCTGAAACCGTTCCGAAGGCAGCTCGCCAATTTCTCCCAGGTAAATTAGAGAGGGCCATTATCTAAATTCACTTTAAATGCAATTGCTTTCTTCCTTTCTCCAATAGGATGGCTGTCAAAAATGCCGTGTCTAAGCTGCCCGCTTACCGAGATCCAAATTCTGCCGCTCCATTTTCATTTAAAAAACACACGAGCGAAGTCTTCTCCAGAGCATCACAGTTATTGGCCACTGGGCTCCTACCCAAGTATTTGCTACCAACCAGCTTAGGTTCCAACTCAGGCTGATTCAGGTTCTTACACGGTTGATCTGAAGAGTCTGAAAGAATTATCTGATGGAAAGAAAACACGCATTGCTCTTTTGCTGACAGAAAGAAAGCATGCATATCTATCCACAAATCTAGAGACAGGATGACTTGAGAACAGCCATCAACCCTTGCCGAAAAGAAAGCCCCTGTAATAATGTTCTCCATAAAACTCTTTCATATGGAGATCAACATGCACCAATTTGGTGAGGTTATTTAATTTCAGGGAAAAAAAGGGAAGGAACTTTCAAGGGAGTCATTAAATGTTACCCACCTAAGGAGGTGTAAAAAAAAAAATGCAATTCTGATACATGTTAAGAGTTGGAAGAGGTTATGGGATTCATCTACTGTTTGAAACTGATCGATCAAATTATTAATTGTGTATACTTTAGGAAATGAGAAAAGAAAAAGGGTCCTCTTTTCTTTTTGTAGAAAGAGCTGTTCCATCTAGTAAAACTCAGGTCAGAACAGACACCATATTAAAAGGATCAAACCTGAAATCTATCTAAAGCACCATCTTAATTGAATCATTGAGCTTCTGAGGAAGGGTGCTCCTTTCTCCCCAATACAAAGGATTGCATCTTCTAAGTGGCTGCCATTATAAGTACAAAGACAGACATGCAAGCCAGGACTGTTTTGTGAACCAAGATTTGGGAGGTCACTCTTGAAAGGTTGAATTAAAATCCACAAGACTTAAGGGATCTATTTTCAACCTTTGAACTCCCCCCAAACTTGAAAAAGGAAGAAAAACTGAAAATGTTCAGCCCTACCCATATTCAGTAATAGTATCGCTTCTTCAGATACATCCCTAGGAGTCTTCAGATTTGGTGGGGAGGGGGGACTGCAGGCCCCTGTCCATAAAAGGGTGCCCATTCTGGTCTAAACTAACAAAACTTAAGAAAACCTACGATCTTCCCAGATGCCAGTGCTGGGACATTTACAATGAAATCCAGCCTCACAGAGGACCATGACAGGGATTTCAACATGAAGAAGGTGCCCCCATCCTGGTTGAGCCAACATGCAGCGTTTGTGACTCTCCTCAACAACCAAAGCAAAAACAGCCAACAGTGATGGAAGTCCCTTTGGGCCAACCCCACGTTGGGAGAAGAGAGCAGGAGGAGGAAGAAGAGAAGCAGTGGCTTACTAGTGGAACAATAGCAAAAGAACCAGAGAATTTCCTCTAGTCAGCCCATGACTTCCGTGTGATATGAATGGAATTGTAAACCTACAACTCCTTGCGTGGCACTATCTTCATGCCACCAAAGAGAGCTAAGCTTCAAACCCAACCAAGCCACTTATTCTTGAAGGACTATCTGAGCAATTCATAGAAATTCAGAGCTTCATTGACCGACAGGTGAAGGGGCCATAAAACACGCTGCTGTATCAATAAAGTCCCACCTCACTCAATGTCTCAGGACAGTCACAGCTTGGCGTGCTTGCTTCTTCATCAAAAGCACCTGTCAGAGTCTGGCTCTCTTCTGTTCGTTCAAGAAGCTATACAAAAGTATGGAATGATATGAAAAATGCTGCATTTGTCAAAGGAAACCAGGTGATATGACACATGTATAAACAAGTAATGTCTTAAAAAAAAGGGAAATAAAGACATGCCTGCAACAGAGTAACAGATATTAGGTTATTTAGCATCAGTAGAATCCCAAGAGAGACTAAAAAAGTAATTGATTCACAAAGGTTTCAGCGAAACAAGTTCTCTCTACTAGTAAGACCAAACATCTCTGTTCGGATAGGACTGGCTCAGTCCACCCTTCACTGCCAGAGGCCCCAGATTTCACTCCCCAAATCGGGCCATGAAATTTCAGCAACGTAATTTCAGAGTGGATGGAGGGAAGGGTTGCCTCCCAGAGGTCTTCTACTCCCATTTCCACCCGCTCAACCCCTCCAAAAGCCAGGTAGAGTAAAACCAACTTCCTTACCACTTCGGTTAAGTCACTGCACCCCTAAAAGGCATCCTGCGGCCTTCCAGCTGGTGAGGGGAAGAATCTGTTAAACCCACCAGCAGCAGCAGCCAACAAAAGATTGTTTTCCTTGATCTAACACTACAATAAATCGACTGATCTTTAAGGTGCCAAAAGAAACTCGCACCCTCTTTTTCAGTGCTTACTTCAAAAGACTAACATATCTAGCCCCGCTGGAATTCCTCGGTATATTACAGCATTTAGCGATTAATAGAAACTTTACCAGGCGCTGCTTAAGCGAAACCAATTCCCCAGACAGCCATTTCCCCACTCCTTTAATGAAATTCCAATAAAATTAAGTGAGCTGTTCTCCCAAAGTTTTATTTTGAGAGCGGTTCTGCTGCGGATGCAAAGAAAACACAGATGCAACCCATCTTGAACCTCGTAGGCCTTTCCAGATCTCTACATTCATCAACCCCTTTTTTGGGGGGAGAGGACACATGTTTGGGGTTCCAGGTGCTTAAACCCGTCTCTAGAATCCACCATTGCAAAGGGCAGTTGGAGATTAACAGGTCTGCCTCTTTCTCGAAATGCAAAATTCCTTACACGCTAAGGAAGCTAGGAGGTTTCTCCCAGACAAGTTAATTTTCTGCATCCTGGGACGCATTTCACAGGATGAAGCAAGCCCCTCTCCCTGAGCGGCCACCCACAGCCCAAAGGGATCAGTTATGATGCAGAGTCCCCAGCTTCCTGAGAGAAGGAACTTCTGAGCTGCTTTGAAAATAAGCCACCACCTCCAGAGAAAACAAACGAGCAAATTTTGGAGAGGATTCTCTGCAAAATAAAGAGCTGAAGGCAAGAAAGTCTCATGGCAGATGGTCAGCAACTTTCTTTTAAAAAAAAGAAATCATATCCCACTGGCAGCCATGTTCTTATCTTTCAGGAAAGGAGCTTACTACACAAAGTACAGAGTGATGCTAAAATCTGGAAGATATTAATTGGGGGGGCGGAAATCAGCAGCATTGGCTCCTCTAAGTGTGGACTTCTGGATTAAATTGCTTGTTTCTTTCTCAAAGCAAAGAGGAAGAGCATTTGTTTGACCTGGACGTCCCGGTCACATTCAACTTCCATAACCCCACGTAAAGCAGTTGCGGGTCATGGATTCTCTCTAGCATTGGGAAGAATTTTTACAAAGTGATCAGAGTTGTCAAAGGCAACTCCTGCGGCCGAGTCGGGAGATAATCTCGGCTCCTTTCCCTTCCCTTGCTGATAAGAGGGGGAAAATGTCAGCGCTGCCTCAAATTCTTCAACTGTGTCGCAGCTGACATGACGATTCAGCCTGCTTAGATCAATGACATTTCTACATCCAGTCCGTGCTCTTAATGGATGGCCTGCGCCAAAGACGCTTTGCTGATTTCACACTCCTGTTGGCAGCTGCATAAAGAACGTTACGAGAAAATGATTTGATCTTCCTCCTGGCTGCCTCATTCTTCCACCTTTTTGGGTCATCTGCAGGAAGATAGTTGAAGGAGAAAAGCAGTACCCAACGTGTTCTCATTTTGTTTTGGGGAGGGGGGTCCAAAGCGGTGTTTCAGAAGAAAGGGACAATGCCTTCATGGTCAGTTGCTCATTTCCACAATGAGTAGAGCACAGAAGACAATGACCTCACTTAGAAAAGAGTGCGTTGGTGGAAAGGCATGTAGGCCAGTTCAAGGGGAAATGCTGTAGGAGAAGCAGGCTGAAAGGAGAAGAAAAGGATCAAGGAAAAAGCAGGAAAATGTTCCAAGGGCAGGAGTGTTGAAAGGTACTTTGACCACCAGACTGATAATGCCAAATAATGCAATTCATCAATGCACCGTATGGTCAAATCTCCTTGCAAGCACTTTGAGCAACCATGGGCAACGTGTTTCCATGATCAAGAAGGAATAAAGATAAATGGGATTGGAAATGAGGGAGCCTTGAACAGAGATGACAGAGGGGAGATACAGGGGCACTCTTAATATGAAAGAAGAGGCCCCCAGCCTCCTCCAAGGCAGAACATGGAACAACAGACAAGGTACTAGCTTAAAGATGAACGCTGGGGTGAATAGAAAGATGAGGGGGAAAAAAAAAAACAAGGGAAATACACATTTCCACATAAGTCTGAGTGTTAGCTTCTGCCTGGTGGTGAAACTGTCAAATCTCCTTCACCTGAAAATACACAGCTCAAGGTTAAGAGAAGGTCTGCAGAGGATGAATCTGCCTTGTCCAAATTTCTCCTTGGTGACCAAAAACCTTGAGAATGTGCTTTTCCTAAACGAACTGCTGATACGCTGGGTTTTGCGACAATCCGAGGAGCCCCAGAGGCTGGCCTCCACACAGCAGCTCTCAGTTTGAAAGCAGATGTGCAGAGGACAACAGAAAAGCCAGTGTTTTTATTCTGCTTCTTCAAAGACCAAAGCTGCTTCAGGAGTTCTGGGACCCCAAGGAGACCTACGTTAGAAGAACCTGTGGCAAGGGTTTAACAGGATTGTGGGGACGGGGGGAGGAGTGTGTGGAATCAGCATATTTCAAAACAGCTGAGAAAACAGCTTGTCCTGGGCAGAGTTGCAATGCCTGGATAGAAAAACGTGTCCCACGTGAGGGACAGAAAGAAATGTTGGAAGAGGGCCAATTCCAACAAACCCCGTTATCTCAGCCCTATCACAATTCAGTCTTCGAATCTCAATTTAATGCAAGACAGATAGTTTGCTCAAACTAAGGACCAAGCAAGATGCAAGGGCCGAGACCAGACACTGATTTTTTTTTCTCCATAGGATTAATAGCACCTGATCGGTCAGGGGAAGGACATTCCCATTAAAAAAAAACTGCCTCAGAATTCCAGTTTGTCTCATAGGGCAAAGCGAGTTGGTATAAGCCGCACGCCTACACATTCTCTACCAAAAGGATCCTCGTGAGATGGGCGGCGACCAAATTTGAAATATCAATAAATATCAATAAAGAAAAGGAAAGAAAATGCAATGAGGATGGAATACAGAACTGCCCTATCTATTACTGGTGGATTTGTTGTTATTAATTATGGTTATCAATAGGGGAAGGTTACCCTCTAGCAGACAGCAATGCAAATTCCATCAACAAGTCAAAAAACTAAACCCTTTCTCTCTCTCTGCTGCAGATTGCAAAGAAAAAACAGATCCAACTTTTGGGGAAACAGCAGTCCTATTTTAAGCACCCAAACACACACGCACCACTAATCAGGTACATCTTTTAAACCCATAAATGAGAATGTTGCAAAACAATACCAGAAAGCTCAAGTGGTATTTTGGGACATGTTGTAGCAGTAATTTTATATCCACAATTATAGAATACTGTCAGAGTCGATGTAGGATTTGGGGGCGGGAGGGAGGCATCTCTTCCACTTTCCATTAAAATATTATTTTTCAAAACTTGCATGCCAACCCTACTGATACTGCTCACTTTTTCAAACAGGATAAGATTGGGTGGTAGGTGGGTGTCTCAGTACCTTTCCAAATGTTCTAACTTGCCCACTTGCTTTTATAAGGCCAAGATTCTGATCTTTGGCACCAACCTGATCCCCAGCACAGAAAGGTCAGAGAACTAGGAGTTATGAATTTCAACCCAGGGAACCCCACCCAATAACCTGCTCACTCCCCACTCCAAGCGACTTTACACTCTACAAAATCCGCTCCACAATGCAAGTATCATATATAGCGTGGGGTCCTAGCAGACCTCAAACCAAAGTCTCTGTGTCCCTCAGTGCCTGATAGTCCCAGGTAAAAAGAAGGACCTGGTTGGGATGGATGGATGGATGGATGGATGGATGGATGGATGGATGGATGGATGGACTGACTGCTAATATTTTTGTGCCCCTCTACCCCAAACAAGGTCTGAGTCTGAACAGGATGGATCGCGCCAACTCCAGCGCACTTTGAGTTCTGTCCAAGGTCCTGAAAGACCTGCCTCCAATCTTCCCACCCTCTCATCTCTCTGCGGATCGGCCCTCTAGCCTCTCCATGGACTAAACCAGACCAAAGAGCCACAACATTAGTTCCTGAATTGCCTCCAGCAGCTACAGTGCATCAGTCACCAGGTGAACCCAAGAAATGTATTTGGATGAGAACATAGGTCCTTTAGGGGCCATTCCAACTGGAAACTGTAGCAATCCAGGATTTTCTAACCTGTCTTAGAATTCAAACGGCGAGTCAATATTTCTACCTAACCGAGAGAAGGGCTTGTGGACGTTTCAATGACAGAAGAGGCATTTCTGCTTTAAACATCCGCCGATTCAGCTTTTTGCAGTCACAGGACTTCAAAGACTGTGAGTTGCTGTTTTTTTTCAGTCGCTTTTACAAGATGGCCGGAACGCCCTGCAGAGAGAATTTCCTGCAGAGCTGCCTGAATCAGGTAACTTTCTGCAATTCTAAAAAGTCTGCTCAAGGAAGGGAGGAAGGAAAGCGAGCAAGCACGCACGCACGCACCATCGGGACAGTGCCTCCCCTCTGTTCCCCATTAACTGTCAGCCTCCTTAATGCCGGAGTGCCAAGAGAGGAATAAGGGTGCACCCAGAGCCGGTACAACCTCATCATGCCTTTGCAAACAGTTCAGCCACTTTACACCCACAGCCCTGGATCCGCTGGAAACAGACAAAAATCAGGTTCTGCAAACATTCCATTTTCCGGCTCTTTGAGGCAGAAGTTCAATTTAAGCACTCAAGGTAGAAAATGTCATTCTTGTGCTGTATGCTTGGTCTCTGATCCAGAAATTTAAAAAGAATCCAAGTACTGCTCTTTAAGAAATAGCAGACTCTAAACCTCCAATGGATTAACTGGGTAAACAGGCCCAGTGATTCATTACAAGATGTGGGGAGGCGGGGGGAATAACGTCAGGGGATGGGACGACAGTTCAACCTGTTGAATTCCTCAAGGAAGAACGCAAAGACAGTGCAAGGTACTTCTCATCAAAGGTCCCGTGGTCAGGTCCTCCCATCCCCAGATAAGGCTGAGAAAGCCTCCCTATCTGAAATTCTGGAGGGCCACCCAAGCCACCCAGCAAAAATGGAGATAGATAAATTTCTGGAATTCAGGAAGCTGATAAATACAATTTCTGTGTAACTAACAAGGAGTGTCTTCAGGGTTACCTTATTCTTTGGAGGATAATTAGTTTCACAAACTGCAGGCAAATGCGATCTGAGTGGGCACAATGAATTATGGGGAATTGCTGCATTTTTAATATTCACTGATAGGTAAGCTTCACTACTTTTGGCCACTGGTATTCTCCACTGTGTTCTTTCAGCAGTTCCTTATCTACAAAAAGCCCTCTCTTCTCAACTTGTAGCTGCTAAACTTTCTTCAAATTGCCCCCTATTTCTGTTACACTATCAACAATTTCACACCTGACTTCTTAAGAATTCTCAGATAATACAATCTTGATCTACTAATCCATTTTCAGGTTGTCTATAAAATCTTGAACTGTTTCTGTTTCAGGGAATCACATTCGTTTCAGGAGGAACAGGAAGCCCAAGTCTCACCTCGCTTGCATCTAATGATTTCTGTTTTTCATTCCCTGAAGGATCCGACGTGGAGAAATCAAATGGCTTCTTTTTCAGTTCTTGGATTACCAAATGCAGTTCCTTCACCACTGCGAGGAGTTCAACAAACTGAAAACATGAAGAAAAGCCTTTAAAGACTGGGATAACTCTTACATTCTTCCATAAAGTTCACATACTTCAATTTGAACGGATGGCATTTGGCCAAAATGTACTGCCTGACTCGTATCTTTCTTAGAACCCAGGAAATACATGTAGGAAAGGACTATCCGATGTATCTATCTGCATGTACTGGGTTAACAGGGCGCTAAACAATTAGGCAGGGTACTAATTTCATGCACAAGGATTGGAAGAACTATTCCCACCCAAAGCAAAGAGGAGGTAGGCTACATGTTTGCGCTCGTTTAGTTTAGAATCTGACATTCCTCTTGATCCTTCTTGATTCTTGTAGAACTGGTGCTTGGATCCCGAAGGCCACCCCAGGTTTACTCCCCCAAAGATCCCCTACATCTGGATTTCTTGCAAGAAGGCAGGAAAGCATAGAACAGCACGGACTGTGCAATCTCGGAAATAGCTACTCCAAAGTAAGATCCACCTCAGGATGAGCTTCCTCTTAGACATGTATAGGGAGGACTGCAGCTAGATGACCGTACCTTCTTTTTAAGCTCCTCCACAGACAGCTGGTCTACCTCAAAGTCCCACCGATGATCCTGGTCTCTTAAACAAATGCTCATGTATGACGTCTGATTGCTCCAACATAAAGGAGTTTCTTCTAATGAAAAGAGAAGAAAAAAGAATATTTCAGAATCCATGGGAAAAGGCTACTAGTCTTGCCCAAATTTTGTATGTGGAACATAATAAATCTAATCTAATCTAATCGTACCCTTATTTGAAGACCTGCTCTTACTCCTTTTAGGCCTATTTTCTTTGCATAATGCGATCCTGCCCATTTGAAATTATATGCTGAATTCAGCACTTCTTTTAACATATGACACACTTCTTTTAAAACCCATCAGTCAGATTTGTATGACCAAGGCTTAGCAATACCACAGACACTGGAAGGAAAGATACTTTCCTGTCTTCTCAATAATGTCACGGGTGTTGCACAGAGAACAGTGACTGAGAATGCCATAAGGAAGAGGAAATCTTGGGTAGAAGGGAAGGAATTTGCCCAGAATTGTGTCTGGAAGGCACCTTGGAAAAGCCCACTCTGATGAGAACAGAACCACCAATGCAGTAGATACCACTGGCAATTTTCCCCCTAAAGGTAGGACTCTGTCTATCTCCTCTCACTCTGAGGACATCTTCTCCTTGGACCTTCCATGGTGTAGGATAGGCTACCACGGTTGCCCAGCTGTCAAAGCCAAAGGCCTGAAGAATAAGGCAGTGCCCCTTTCAACTGGAAAACCTTTTCTCAGAGGGGAGGGTGAGAAAACTTGCGGATCTAAGCTGTCTTACACCCAACCATTGATGCGTGCTCCACAGAGAACTGAGCAGAACCTGAAGGCCTGTAGCGATGCTTGATATTTGCCCAGAGTGAATTAAACAGATACTGAGATGTTCTTCCCAGACCTGGCTCACACTCAGAGCAGAACCAAGGGCTGAGCCCTGAGTGGGCAGAACGGGCTCCGTGGTTCAGTTTGCAGTTGAGGGAATTTCACCATCCTACAGCTGGAAATGGCAGAGTTCACCCTCTTGCCTCAATCTTTGACACGCATAAGTCGCCTCTATGATCCACTACTTGGCAATTACCTTAGAAGGCACCATTGTGAGCTCCTTTCTATTTTAGTTTCTGAGCCATGCCAGGCAAAAAGCTGCTTGTTTTTCACTTTTTGCAAAGCAACAGAGTCTACATGTAGCTGAGATACCCTAAAAATAACGCAAACGTGAAAACGACTGTAAAGAACAGAGGAAACAGCAGCTCCCTTTTCTATCCCGCCCATGTGTTCCCTTTAAGTGAAAGAACTTTTACCCTCAGATTTTTTGTTTGCCTTCCTGACATCTTAAGACATACAAGCTTTCCCACTAGCTATCAGCACGCATTGTGGATCCAATGTCGAATTATAATTTGCATATGTAGCATTGCATTTTTTAAAATAACTTTTAAGCAGGTGCAAGAAAAACGGCGGGGGGCGGGGGTGGAGGAGAGCGTGAGACGGAGAGACGTGAATTATTCTTCCATAGTTGGATTTTGTGAAAATGAGACCAAGGTCTCGAGGGGAGCGAGGGAAAGCCAGGTTAAATCACAGTGCCGAATTTTTATTTTGCTATTGGCACAACAGACTGCAGGAACTGAATCGAAAAGAGTGGCTTATGTTGCTTAACAGTACAATTTGTGGGAAGGGAACCTGTCATAAGCAGCTTATTTCAAATCCAGATCACGCTCCGCAGGCAAGGGGGAAGGGAGAGGAGATTGGAAACAAAAAAGACCTTCCATCTCTGTTCCCAAGCTCAGCGATGCCAGCAGATCACAAGAAAATAACCAATTAGTTGAGCAGATCTTGCATCTTCCACAGGTAATTTTACAGGGGATCCGTTTGGAGGCAAATGGTGTTACCTGACACCAAATCCTAAGGATTTTTTTTCCCTCTGGCAATTTCATTACTCCTCAGTCTTCCGTATTTTACACTACTTGGAGCTGCCCACTCTTCAATTTACAATTTTTCTATTTAAGGTCACTTTCCTACTTCTGGTTCTTCTCACAATATCCAGGCCCTGGGCAGCCAGAAGGCCCAACTGGAGATCCCAGGGTGTGGAGGCTACCACTAAGCCAATGGGCTGCTAAGCTGTCCTTGGGTATCTCCTCCAAACAGACAGGAGGCCAGAGTCTCTCATGTAAAGGATATGCCAGCAGAGAAGACACGGCCTTGCTGGATGAAGTCAAAGGTCCACCTGGTTGGCATTCTTTGTCTCAAGCTAGCTAACCAAATGCATCCCGGAAATTCACAAGTGGCATGCGAGGATGACATGGCCTGGATGCTACCTATGATGCAGACATGAAGACTGGCAGTCCTGTGTAGCCCTTTCTCCATGAATCTATCTATCCCCTTTGAAAACTATCAAAGTGGCAGCAGGCCCCGCATATGAAGATAGAAAATTCCACACTTCAGATACTAGATAAAGTATATTTTCCATTTGTTAGTTCCAGATCTACCTGTATTTTACATCAACATCCTGAGTTCCAACATGACGAAAGAGGGAGAAAATGAAATTTCCATCCATGCTCTCCACACTACGGATGGTTTCCTACGCCCCCGTCTCCTTCTGGCCTGCTTTCTAAGCCTCAAACTCCCTCATCATTTCAGCAGCTTTCTTGTAGAGCTCTTCCAGATGTACAACATAATTTCTGAGATGCAAGGACCAGTTCTGTTCTTCCCTATCTGGTGGGAAGCTGGAAGGTTGCAGCCTTGTTTGGTGGCAAAGGGATGGAAGGAAACTAAGAGGATCCCATGACTGCTTCATGTAGACTCAAACAGAAGGAGCAGGGAGCATACAAGGTCATCCACTCAATGCTGGCTTAGCATAGTGGCCTCTCTGGTTGCAACCAGAAAGCTTCCCTTCCACAAAATGGCTACCACAGTATGCATGTCAGTCATCCTTACACCCACCCACCCCAAAAAGGGGAAGCAAAACCAGTAAGACAACAAGTTTGTATCACAGGAGTGAAACCTCCAAATTCAGATGCGAGATACTTTTCAAAGTCCCGTTAGCAGATAACAAACACCGAATGAGATCTGCTGCCTTCGTTCCTTTCCATGAGGACTTTTTGGATGCAGTTGCTCATAAAATGCTCCTCTGACAACCCTCCCCAGGAGAGCAGCTTATTGATAAGAAGGACCTTCAGTTGGCTGCTGAGTTGAGATAGCTTTGACACAATATCCTAAACATGACGTTCATTACATTTGCACAGCCCACCTGGAGCTCAGCAATTCACCTATGGCTTTCCGTTCAGAGGTAAAGAAATGGAGCAAGAGGTATTTTGCTCACCTTCCTTTCGGTTCTCCCGGATTTGCTCTTCCAAAGCTTTCCGCAAATTCCAGTTCTCCAAGATGCCTTCTTCCAGCTTCTTATGCAAGGCAAAGATGTTGTTTAACTCCTCCTGCAGGTTATTTATGCTAATTTTTAAAAAGAAAAGAAAAAGAAGAATTTTTAACTGAAGTCAGGAGGAGACCAAGCTCAAGGCTCATCAAACATTTGGAAAAATTTTGCTCTGGACCTCTGGAATCTTTTGTTCACACATAAAAGAACTTGCTCCAAAGGAGAAAGAACTAAAGTCGCTTTTAAGGCATTCCATCCTCTCATCTTGAAAGGGCAGGATAAACAAATCTTGATAGAAGATTAAAATAAAGTTAAAAACAAATGCTTCACCTGTCCCCACTGTGGCATCTTTCAAACTTTTATGACATCCTTAGCTTCAGAGTTATTTTTCTCCCAAGAAGGAAAACCTCATTGACACAAATCGGTCTAGAATTTCTAAAGCCATTGAGGAGATCCGTTCATCTATTTCAGTAGCTAAAGCATTGACATTCTAACCAGGCTCCCAAGATCTCAGCCTTTCTCCTTCATTTATTTTATCTTCACAACAGTCGGGCAAGGTAGCTTAAACCCAGGATGCCTTGCAAGGCCCAATGAGCTGAATAAGCTTTACAGCTACACGAGAGTTTGCTCACATCTCCCCGAAGATAGATTTGCCTGTTGCAGTCAGCAAGTTAAGCTGATGGGCAAACCTCTGAATGTTATGCACATTTCCACAATCAAAGGAGAGACATGAAAGGCTAAAATACCTAAAGGGTTTGCCTAGCCTTCTTCAGACACAGTGGGGGGGG